TTCCTCCTTCATCTCATTCTTTTCAAATGTCAGCATCTCATTCAAGTATCTTGTCCTCAACTTTTGCATCAGCTTTTCCTACAATATTCCCAATTTTAAACCATTCATTTTTAAAATTTTCATGTATAGAGTAATATTTGTGTTACCAAGAAATCTACCAGTACTTACATTTATGTTTTCAAGCCCACAATCCCATTTTGCTTCCCCTTTATATGTCTCCATGAATCTCATAGCAAACACTCCTGAGTCTGTACGACTTTTCATTACATTCAGTCCCACATCTAAGCACTCTGGTTTCAGCTTCTGTACTTCCCTTGCTCTTGGATCTTTTTTTCCTTAAGCCACTTTACAAAGGCACTTCTCTACAATGGACATATAAAAAAATAGGAAGTAATGTTATTTAAATAATGTTTAAAAAAAAGACTTTAATGGAGCATTTCTTAAACAAATCTTACCAAGTGGTTTGGATGGAATATATATCTTACACCTATTGCAACTGTAGTCTCTTTAATGTCAATTATGAGAAACTTCATATTTCTCAAGTCAAAACACATTAAGTAGACATGGTCTGTCAGCTTTGCTGGGAAGAAAAACTTATATGTACTCCTCACCCTGTTTATTGACATTGGACACATTTTCTCCATACTCTCCACAAAGTTTTTGTTTCGTGTTGTTGCTGAACTTCCAACATTGTAATCCAGCACATCCTGCAAATTTGAACTTAAAAACTCATTATATTTATTTAGGAAAACTACTCTACTGCTTGTGATTTTATTTTAACATACACAAATTTTCGTTGGGAAGAACACTCTGGCTGATAAGTCATTACTTTTGAACTTCTCTTTGTGGTTCAGAATATTAGTCCACAAATCTATGACTTCAAAAGAAACCGCTGAGTTCAGTTTCAAGCTTTGGAAGTGCCCTTTCTTGATTGCTCTATCACCTTCCTTGTATAGCACATTACTGATACAAATAAGAAATCACAAGTATTCCATGTCATCAAGAATGAGTTCAAATTCATCCCCAGAAAATACCAGAATGAGTTTTCCTGTAAAGATTAATGAACATTAAGAGATACCAGAATGAGTGCTACACTAAAAAATAGTAGTATGCACATAATTAATTGAAATAACTTACTCATCACTGTCTACTGAAAATGTGAACGCTTCCACCATTCTCTCTTCAATTGTCAAGGTAGACCTTATGCCTACAATTCTATTCATGAATGGCGACCTTAGTGTAGCTGAAAGTGCAACATCTCTCTTTCTACCCTTTTGTCTTTCTGCAATTCTTTCTCGACATTCATCTTGATTGCCTTTTTTATTCAGCTCAGCTTCTCTATTGTTTTTTACCACTGCCATGTCAAGAATCTGGTCTTCACTTGGACCATTTTTTACATTGGCCACATCTGCCACATCTCCTGCACCTCCGACATCTGCTTGCAACTCTCCATTCTCTGTGTGTGTAGGTTCTGTCACATGTTCTACATCTCCCACAGCTTCCATAGCTTCTGTCACTTGTCCCCCATCTCCCACATTTGCTTCCAACTCAATATTTTCTTCTATCACACCTCCCACATTAGCTGCCACCCCCAATCATGAACCATCTCATTATCACGTCTCTCTGGGCTTTCTTGTGAAAGTAGCCTAAAGGTTGGCCCATCATACTGTGCTCTCTCTTGTTTCCTTTTTTGTGCTTTTTCTATAGCATCAATAGCCTTCATCACTTCTTCACTTTTCCAATATTCATCATCTTGACTAAAAGTTCATTCCTTTTCTCCTTCTCTTGTGCTTTCTTTCTCTTCTTCTTGCACATTCTCTTTTGAATAACCATCCAGCAGATTAGAAACCCTCTCTACCAGCATTTTCATTGCTTCATCATCTGGCAACACTTGAACAGCTGCTTGAAGCTTCTCATCAAATGTAGATATTGCTTCTGCCAAATTCTTTATGGCTGAAGCAAATGCTTTTATAACATCCTGCAATAAATTGCATTTTACAGCATTTTTACCATGGTCACATATTAATATTTTTGAGGAAATGAATAGTACTATAACCTTACCATTTTTTCTTTCTGAACATGTAATTCATCTTGATTTCCACCATCACTTTGGTTTGTCTGACTTTCTTTGTTGAGATTTGGACTTGTCAGTTCAATCTTTTCAACATTGGGCACATCGATGTACCCGTAACCAAATCCTCTGCTTTTTTTTCAGCCCTTTCTCGTTCCCACAGTAGTCTTGCGTTCCACCCAACGAAAGAGGGGAACTGCCTTTGAACTCTTCTGCTTTTGAAAATGACATTGTCAACATAGAAAACCTGATCATCATTTCATCAAATAAATGTGTTAATACAACACACAAAATATATAAACATTTCAGAAAACAAATAAAAAATTTAGAACTTACAATTAAAAACAGCAATGGCCCTCCAAAGAATCTGCTTTTGTAGGCTTTCCAATAATCTGTTGCCTCTATCAAACTCTCCAAGGTATATGAACACCAGTTAATGTTTTTTATTTCAGACACGTTTACCAAAGCATTCACAATTTTATGTGCTGCTGAACAATTCTGCTTCCCTTCAATTAGAAAACTGACAATCAATACGATTAAATTCCTTTTGAACATTTCTCCTCCTCCCTTGTTCTCTTCAACACTTTTTCTCACATCTGCTATTCTAATTGTCCCTTTCTGAACTGCAAATTGTAAATTCCAAGCTCTCATCACTTCTCTTGCTTCTTCAGATTTCTCTCTATTCTTTTTCATCACACTTTCTCCTCCCATTGGAAATCCGATGGTGCTATGAATGGAAGTCTCATCAATGTGAATCTCTTTTTTACTTGGCAACATCAGCGAAACACTTCTGGTATCAAAGCTTTCCACCAGCCAGTAACCTAACTGCAGAGGAAGATGCGTGATATCCAACTGTAACAACCTACAAAACCCCATTTCCCTAACATCCTCTTTTTGTTCTTCACTCAGATTTTTTAACAGTTCAGTTATTGTTTTCGGTGCCATCCTTGTCTTTATGGACTTCACACCAATCTTATTCAGTTCTCCTTCTTCTCCCCGCATCCGCTTCTTTCTCTTTCTTTGTATATTTTTCTCTTTCTCTTTGTATTGCATCTTACCTTTTCTTTCCACTGTTGCACTTTTCTTCTTCCTAGCACATTCTTCCTCTTCACTACACTCTTGTTCAGTGTTTACTTCATCTTCACCAATTTCTTGGTCAGTGTTTAGCTCATCTCTCGAAGTCCTTTGATCAGTGTTTCCTTCGAGCTCAACTTCTGCTACCAAAACCTTCTCACCGTTTAATTGGTCAATATTTTCAATGCTCGGCATTTCATCTTCTTGTGAAATTGGATTTTCTTGAGCTTGATTCTTTTCCTGCTCAGCATTTTCTCCCAGTATCCCTTTCTTTCTCTTTCTCAGTTGCATTTTTCTCCCAAACATTGGTTCCTTCTCAGTCCCTTTCCTTTTCCTCAGATTTACGTTAGTAAAAACACTTTGTTCTTCACGTAGTACAGGGATTTCCGTGATGGCTTTTTTACTACATAATTTTCAAGCACATTTCAATAAGATTTTTAGCTACATAGTTCAATAACTAAGTACTATTCTGTAACAGAATGAATACCAGCAGTTATGAGAATGATCATATTCCTACCACACATAAAAATAATAACCTTGGGCTTTACGTTGTCTATACAGAATGAGACTGATCATATTAAGTATTTAGAGTATAATTGAGTACCAGAATAAGTCATAATGTACACTCGAACATATTAGAATGATCATATTACAAATCCCAATATGAATGAGCTTTACTATAACAAACATAACATGCACCTACTGTGTGGACTACAAATGAGGACCATTATAGATTATAGTCACTGATAACACATACAAGAATAGACATAATTCAATCCATTACTTGAATCAAAAGCACACCAAATTATAGAGAGTATAAATGAGTATGATTATAAATCATAATGTGTTCTACCAAACAGGACAATGATTATATTACAATCCCTATATGGATGAACTTTACTATCTATCATAAGCAGAAGTACTGGACCCATAAAAATGAGTACCAGTATACATGCCAATGTGTTATGACACATCTAGAATGGAAATAATTAAATCAGTTACTTGAATGGACATGTTATGTGACATTTTCTATGGCCCTTACGAGAATGAACTTAACAACTCTCCAGATTACAAACGAGTACCATTCTATATGAGAATGAGTATAAGTGTGTACGATTTTGGTAGCTTGCACTTCAATGCGAGAATTAGTATAATAGCAGATGAAATTGCTTTGAAGCTCAACACGATTTTGGTTTAAAAATGTTCCAATTAGGGTTTGACATCTTTCCGATTAAGATTTGATAAATTTGGAATTTAGATAGGATATTTAACAATAATAAAAGTAAAAATCTCATACCTCAACGAAGAAGAAGCTTCTGCAATTTCTTCCTTCTGCATGGTCATCTTCCTCCGAGCGCAGTGATGTTGTGCAGGTAACGCTTCGATTCAAGAGAATGAATTTGAATTTTGATGGTGGGGGATGATTTGGAAATCGTGGGTATAGGCAAATGAAAATTTTGGGCCTGATCCATAAATGGGCTTGCGTTTTAATGGTTAAGTGGGACGGCTGTACCTAATTTTAGGTACAGCCGGATGTACGGTATACGGACTCTACAAGAATAAATTAGACGGATAAATTGGAACTAAGTAAAACTAGGCAGAGATGTAAACGGACTTTATATGGGTGTGCTTATCTCTATCCGTTTATTTTTGTCGGATATTGAATTCGAACATATATCTCGAGGGATTTTAAAAATCAAATCTATATGAGCATCTGTTACCAAATTTTAAAAATCAAATTAAACTATATACCGAGTAGTATATGTATGTATGGATGTATGTATATGTATATGTATGTGTGTGTGTGTGTGTATATATATATACATATATATATATATATATATATATATATATACATACATATATATATATATATATATATATATTATAAATACGGAATTTATATTGATAATAATCAAAGGATGTTTACAGCAATGTGGGAGAAGCATTCGTCCCACTAGTTAAGATTACAAGACAGAAAAGCATTGAGAGTTATTTCTATTAAAGTGCAAATGAAAACTCAAGGACTTCAACGTTTCATCCATATGCATCCATTTCTTGCCTTTGTGAATCCATATCCATTGTTGTATCGTCTTCATGATTGTTGCGATAGTAGTCCCTTCTTTGAAGGCTTTCCCCGTGTATTTCACTTCGTTGTGAGCCTTCCGTATTCCCCATGAAATGAAGCCAGGGAGGACCGAGGTGATTTTATCCTGCAGCTTGTTCCTTGGCGTGCTAATCCACCATTTCATGCAGGTATCGTGTAGGGTATCTTCCCTACTAGGAATGGGATCATCAAATAGAGCTGAGAAGAACCTCCAAATTCTGAAGGACATTTGACACTGGAAGAGGGTATGGTTGAGGTCCTGTGGGCCGTTGAGACAGAAGCTGCATTGGGAAGGAAGGGCAAGGTTAAACCTGGATAAGGTTTCCGGGAAGGGGAGTATATTATTGAAAGCTTTCCAGATGAAGAGGCTGATCTTTGGGATCTGAAGCTTGTTCCAAATCATCTTATGGGCAAGAGAGATAGGCTTAGAATCCCTCCAGGCGTGGTATGCCAACTTGGTGGTGAAGGGCTCACCCTCCCAGGTGTCGGTTTCATCCACTTCCTGGACATGTTGTAAGGCCCAGTTATGGATCCTTGCAGCCCTTTTCCAAGTAAGCGTGTCTGTAGGATGTTCTTGAAAAGAATCCGGCCTGTATCTTCTCCTCATGTATTCCCCCCAAAGACCTTGTGAGTTTCTAATCTTCCACCAAAGTTTGGTTGAGTAAGCTGCTTCTACATCTTCCAGGTGTCTAATGCCTAGACCTCCTTCATGTTTTGGGTAGCATAAGCCTCTCCAGGATATCCAATGATATTTAGGCTTCCCATTTTTGTATCCCCATAGAAAGTTCTGCATCTTTTTGTTCAAAATGTTGTGGATAGATTTAGGCATTTGCTGGACAGCAACAATGTGTAAGGGTATTGAACTGAGAACATGCTTAATTAGGATTAAACGCCCCATTTGGTTGAGCACCTTGCTATGCCAGGTATTAAGGTAGACATCAAAATGTTGGACAATTTTCTTACAATCTTCCTTCTTAACTTTCCCTTTTCCAATGGTTGCCCCTAAGTAGGTGAAAGGTAACTTGCCCTCTCTCATATGAAGTGCTCTTTGCATATTAGCTTTGATTTCTGGCTTCACTCTCGGACCTGTGTAGAAATGGCTTTTGTTGAGGTTGATAAGATGTCCAGATGATTTNCTTAATTAGGATTAAACGCCCCATTTGGTTGAGCACCTTGCTATGCCAGGTATTAAGGTAGACATCAAAATGTTGGACAATTTTCTTACAATCTTCCTTCTTAACTTTCCCTTTTCCAATGGTTGCCCCTAAGTAGGTGAAAGGTAACTTGCCCTCTCTCATATGAAGTGCTCTTTGCATATTAGCTTTGATTTCTGGCTTCACTCTCGGACCTGTGTAGAAATGGCTTTTGTTGAGGTTGATAAGATGTCCAGATGATTTAAGGAAACGATCCAGCAGCCCTTTGAACCTGAGGAAGTTTCTGAAATGACCACTAAGGAAGAAAATTATGTCATCCGCATATGCAAGGTGGGAGGGGGGATGGTTTCTCTCTGTATGAATGACTTTTAATGAACCCTCCTCAACCTTCCCCTTAATAAGTCTACTTAGGCCTTCATTTCCAAGGATAAAGAGGAGGGGGGATAGGGGATCCCCTTGCTTAACCCCTCTCTTCATTTTGAAAAACCCATGTGGAGTTCCATTAATGAGGATGGAGAAGTGGGTTGCCTTGAGTGTGGATAAAAGAAGGTAGCATGACTGGGAGGAGAAACCAAAAGAGCTAAGAGTAACCTCTAAGAATTGCCATGAAATTCTGTCAAAAGCTTTGGAAAAGTCCACTTTGATAGCAATGTTGGCGCTTCCAGAGGTGTTGTCAAGGCAGTGGATCATCTCCTGGGTGAGGAGGATGTTTTCTTCCACTCTTTTACCTGCTTGAAACCCACTTTGCTCGGGACTGATGAGTTTTTGAAGGAGTGAACCTAGTCTATTTGCAAGGATTTTAGTATTGACTTTGGAGAGGAATGTGGATAATGAGATCGGCCTGTAGTCTCCCAGAGATTTAGGGTTGTCCACCTTAGGAATCAGAGTGAGGAGAGTCGCCCCATAGGATTTAGGGATGGGCAGACCCAAGAAAAATTCTTGGGTTGCTCTAGTCACTTCATCATGGAGGATGTGCGAGTAGGTTTTGAAGAAGTTCCCATTGTATCCATCCGGGCCTGGTGCAACTATGAGAGTTGAGGTCCCAAATGGCCCCCCTTATTTCCTCCTCTTGTGGAACCGCACAAAGCATTATGTTATCCTCTCCATTAATGATATTGAGAATGTATGAAAGCAACTGCGGATCAATACTGATTGGTTCATCTGAGTAGATATTGGTGTAGTAATCTATTGCATGCAACGCAATGTTGCTGGCCTCCTCAATAGTCCTACCATGGTCATCCTTAAGAGAAGAGATCCTAAGCTTCTGGCGCCTATTTATGACCACATTATGGAAGAATTTTGTACTAGCATCCCCCTCTTTTAACCACCTGATGCAAGACTTTTGCCTCCAAAAATCAGTTTCTCTTTTGGAGAGCAAGAGAAGTTCAGCATTGGACTTATTGAATTCAACCAAGGATTCAGGGTTTGGGTTCGCCTCGAAATGGTCTTGGGCCCTGCTAGCTCGAGATTCTGCCTCCTTAAGTTGATGGAAGATATTACCAAAATCATCCTTGCTCCACTTGGTCAAAATGGCCTTGAGATCCTCTAACAGCCCAATATGCTTTTTTGAAGGAGAAATTACCATTGACCCAGCAAACATTCTGGTTGGTAATTGTAGTGAATTGTAGACCGATAGGAGAGATTCTACAGATTCTTTTCCAAGAAGCAGAGTCATAAATCTTAGCCTCAAAAGTTCCTTCCCTTGCATATTTGTTCTTCATAAATATGGCCCAGAGAGAATTCCCTGTAAGAGACGTCCACCAAAGTTTTAAAGCTGAGGCTTTCTGAATATCATCCAAGTTCCTGATCCCTAGACCTCCCTCTCCAGTGGGTCTAGTTAATGTGTCCCATTTGGCCCAATGGTAATGGTTCCTTCCTTGCTTGCTCCCCCAGAAGAAGTTAGCCAGTTTGCCATGTATGGTCCTAATAATGGATTTAGGAAGATCTTGGACAGCAAGGGTATGCATAGGAATTGCACTTAGGACATGCTTGATAAGAATGAGTCTACTCATAGGGTTAAGCTCTTTACTATACCAATTGTTGATATAAGCATCAAAATGGTGAAGAATATGATCACAGTGAGTTTTTTTGAGTTTACCCTGAGTGATAGTAGAACCCAAGTATTTGAAAGGAGGGTTTCCCACCTTAAACCCTAAAGTATCTTCCAGCTTGCTAGTATATAAACCTCTGCTCCCTTTCTTGCAGAAAATCCTGCTTTTCTTTTTATTAACCTCCTGTCCTGAAGCCTTAAGATAGCTATCCAGAAGGTGTCTGAATCTTAGGATATTCCTAAGGTCTCCCTTAAGAAAGATAATAAGATCATCTGCAAAAGCAAGAT